TCTTTCAGATCATCTAGATTTTCATTGGATGTTTTTCAGCAATATTTTTTCTTCTGCAATTAGACATCATTCGTTTTTTAGCCAACCTATCGATTAGTGCCGATACACACACCAAATTTTGAAACAATAGTTTGACTTTGAACCAATTAATGCAAACTACTCTGGATTTGATTTCGTTTCTCAGATTATATTACTCTAGATTGATTTACACAATGTTTAACCACTCTTTCGGAAGGCTCATATTACCGCTGGTTGGCTTATATCTGATCCTGATCATGTGTATGAAATTTTAAAACAAATGAGAATAAAAAACTAAAGATCAAAATATTTTTCATTTGCAATATGAGGCCCAACTGTGCACTAGATAGGCGCACAATTTTGTGACTGTATGTTCCTGAATTCCACAGACAAGTCTTAGAACATGCTCCAAAAAGAAAATGGATTCCACTTACAAATTTCAGTGGACTTCGCGTACTAATACCTAAAACGTAAATTTTGTCGGCACACTGATTTTGTCGCGGATTCGGCAACGAGCGAATATAGATGGTTGTTCCGGATTCCCCAAAAGTAAGTGGATTTAGCGAAAAAGAATAATTACAGAAATTTGTGCGGATTCCGCCTACAATTTGCGGAGACTGCTCACAGTTTGCGGATTCCGCTTACAATTTAAGGATTCCACTAATATTTGCGGATTCCCCGACAGCATAACTTTACTAAACACATATATTTTTATTTGCTCAAGAATTGAACAAACTGGTTCCGGATTCCGCACATGTTTTTGCGGATTCCGGTAGTTTTCTATGCATTATAAATTTACTTTCAGTGAACTAAAGTCTTTATCAGTTCCAGTCAGTTTCAAACACAATCAAAAAAAAATTCAGAAATTAAATTTAGAGAAGCAAAACAACTTTTTGGTTTATGGAAAAATAGTTGTCACACGATGTTTATATATGGAAAAGCATGGAGACTTCATTCGATTTTCTGTACGTATAGAATTGTATGGAACTGTATAAAAGAAGCTTCTCGTATATGCAAATTGTATGATAAGTCATCACAAGTGTCGAAATGGGAAGACAGTCATTTTCAGTTGAATTAAAAAAAAGGGTTTTTTATGTAGTTAAGAAACCTTCTCTCACAATTAACCAATTGTTTCAATTTCAATCAGTTGTTTAAGTTATTTTTGTTTTTTGATAATAATTTTATTCCTAAAATTGTGTTTTTGTTGTCTCGCTCAATTTCGCGTTTTTTTATCATACGTTACTTTTTTTGTTATTTATAGCTTTTAGTTTTACTCGAACACCCCACAATGTACCTCATCCCTACGTGGGGGAATTGGGCTGGGAGACGTTTTAATTATTCTTTACTAATCGATTATAATGGATTAAAAATCCATTAGGTGGACTAGTTTTCCCTCCATAATCGATTATCTAGACACAATTTAGCCCAGTATAGCCCAAAACAATCTTATTTAAATTATTTTTATCCATTAATGTTTTCTGCTGGTTTCAAGTTTGAAATAAATGATTCTGCTACATTTTTTGGAAACGCTCGATTTCAGGCAATTTCACGCACACAATTTTCTTTTCTCATTTTGCTGTTAGGGAATCAAAAAACAAATACTTAAAATAATCAGCTCAAAATCAGCTCAAATAGCAAGATCCATAAATATGCTGAATCGAGAAAAATCTGTGAACAACTGATTCCTCAACAGATTTAAATAGTTTCTGTGCTTTGTGAACTACGCATCGAAAAATGTTTGCGGGAACTATACTTTGCTAGCAGAATCTGTCACTTGTTACTTTGGATTAGTTTGTTAGTTAATCCAAAATTTTTTGCGCTATTCTATGTTATTGTTCCGAGAAAGAACACACTCCAGGCCAAATGTCGTGTTCATGAAACAAGAGCAACCACTGTTCTGCAGCTTGTGTTTTTGGTACAACGTTTCCTTGAAATGAAAACATGAAATTTCTTTTATTTAAACTTATGTTTTAATTATATTTAGTTTTGATGTAATAAATTTTAATTTATGTTTTTTTTGTGATTCTATCAAATTCATGTAATTTGATAATTGAAATATTTCAGACAGAGGCAAAGTCGAGCTTCGCATGATTCGCGGGGCAAAAATGTATGATTATGATTACAAGAAAAAAGGACAAGTCAAAAACTGAAAAAAAAACTTTTGAAAAAAAAACATTCTTTTTTGTGAAAAACAATTAACGATTGCAAAAAGCACGAAAACTTCCAGGAATAAAATTATCTGTACCATTAGAAGCTTTAAAACGAGCTTTCAAATTAAAATGTATGATTATGATTACAAGAAAAAAGGACAAGTCAAAAACTGAAAAAAAAACTTTTGAAAAAAAAAAAACATTCTTTTTTGTCAAAAACAATTAACGATTGCAAAAAGCACGAAAACTTCCAGGAATAAAATTATCTGTACCATTAGAAGCTTTAAAAAGAGCTTTCAAAATGCTAAAGAAACTAAACTTTTATGCGGGACCTAAACTTTCAAAAATTAGCAGACACGAAAGTCTAGAAAATTCGAAAATTTTCAGTTACGACAAAAAAAGATCCCGAAGGAAATCGACTTCTGGGATTTGTTTCTTGAGCATACCACTGCAGTAAAGGACAAAATCGTTTTTCTTTCAAAGTTTTTTATCAATAGCGTCAAAAACAAAACAGAAAAATAGCTAAATAATAGGCAAAAATTCATAAAACTCAATTACTTTCCCGAAACCAGAGTACCTTAAAATTTTTGTTTATTTAGAGTACAGAGCACAAGTTTGAGGCAAGTTTGGTGCTGCAGTAATTAAGCAACAGACAAGCAGAAAACCAACAAAAATTGTTCGACACGCAGACAATTTTCAGAAAAAAAAAAACAAAAAAACAAGTCCAATGAAGGTTCGAACCATTGCTTACTGTCTTGATAGGCAGGTGCGTTTTCTCTTCGCCACGGGCAAAATTAAAGTCAGACTTTTGATTTAATATGAGGCAAAAGTAAAATGATTCTAGTGATTCTGTTAAACTAGTTGTTAACCCGAAAAAATATATATTCCAGTTCGACTAATCGCAAGCGAAATAAATTATGGAATCAGTTATAACAATCACAAAGCAAGAATACTTTGTCAAGCTTCAACTTAGATGGGAAAATTTTTTGAGCTGAATGAGGTCGGAATTTTTCGTCAGCGTTGGTTTAACACTTGACAAATGTAAATTCACTTGAGCCAAAGTTGTCAAGTCTTGACGTCCGCGATGTAAATTCCACAAATGAGATGTGCGGGTTGATAAAGATGACCTCGCGCAAAAAAATTCACTCAAAATTTTTCAGTCTGAAAAAAAACGTCAGTGTAAAAAAAATACCTGGAAAATTTTTTTTCGTAAGTTCAAATTACGAGAACTAATAATTTCATAAATTGCAATGACAAGGCTCATTTTTAGTCTAAGCATTGTAGATAACTATTATTTTCGCGAAATATTTCTAAGTACTTTAAACCTCTATTCATTTTCATTTGTAGTATGAGTATGACTATTAACCTCCCAGCTTGTTTTCAATGGCAAAAATTACCCGTTTTCTTTTCTACAATGGCTTGGTTTTGGAGAAAAGAGTTAGAAGTGAAAATTGCAAAGTTTGCGAGAAAGCTAAAGTTGTCCTCAGCTTATATGCGAATCTGACCAACAGCTTAGCGAGACTTGCTAACCTTTACACAGTCTTTTACCTTGTGCAAAACATTATGCGCGCATCTTATATAGTTAAGTTTGTTAAATGAAACTTGTACAGACCATAGTTGTTCCGTTTTTCAAAGCCTTTAATGTTTGAGGTGGTTTTTTTCACATTTTTGACTTTTTAGCAAAGCATTTTCTTTGGAATTTTTATACTATCTAGATTTTGTGTCTAGATTTCAAATTTAAAAGCATATTTCACCTGTGATCTCTTTCCACAATTTTTTAATGGTTTGACTTTGTGATTTCTTTGACGACTATAATTCAAATTTTGTTAACTGATGCGCCATTAATTTCGTTCTAATAAAGCGTAAGCGGCAAATTAAATATATCCAATTTGAATTGAGGCAGAAATTTGGTCTTGCTGGTACGTTAACGCGTGCAAAATAAATCACTATTTATTGTAATTAAATTAATCGGGAATAAAGTAGGAAAATACCATTTTAAAATTTCGTTAAGTTTTTCGTACATTTTTTCGAATTTTTTACGTTTTTTCGAACTAAAATTCTTTTAATATCTGTCTGTGTTTATGACTTATGTATGCTTTAAGCTCAAACAACATAAAACTTAAACCAAAAATAAAAAATCAATTAAATTTTTATCAAATATCCTACCAGAAGTGAACTAATGAAGGGGGTGGGGACGTTTCCGGCTTCCTGGCGATCCAGCAGTTTGTTGCTTTGCTTTTACGACTACCATTGATTTTGTTAGGTAAATTCCAAATGTTTTGCTGAAGACGCCAATATATCTTAGCTTCGGGGAGAGCTCGCTACAAAAAACGTACATTTTTGGTCATATCTCTTAAAATTTTGCCCTTGATTGGCTATTTTGGCTCTTTTTCTCAAAAAATTGGCCAAAAAAGGACTTTGTAAAATTTTTGGAGAGCTCGTTTGCTGAACTTTAAAAAATGTAGAAACAATTATCATTTTTTTAAAAGTCTCGAGAAATTCCTATTACCAATCCTGTATTAAATAGTTCTCAAATTTAGTATTATATTAAAAATCTTAAAACAAAACGCAGATTTTTGCAGTGGTAAAGCTTGTAAGTTTATCTAGCTGATTTATTGTGATTTATTTCAAGAAAAGTTTTTCTCATAATATCTTTGTAACATTTACCGAATTTTATAATGGACCTGATTTAGCGTAATTGTTTTCATGATGATTCTCCTCCATTGTAATTTTTTAATCATAACAGGTATATTAAATAATATTAAATTAGAACGCATTTAGAGTTATGAAGTGCAAAATCATTTACAAATAATGAACAATAAAGCAGCAGAAATTCTGAGTCCACAGATTTTTTCAACATTAAACTAACTGTGGAACCGTCAAAATTGAAGCGTTAATAAAGTTAAATTTCACAGAAAAAGTTTTTGCTTCTTTTTTCATGAAACATGACTTTTTTGGACTTCCGATGATTTGGTTCAAATAAAACACTCAACTTCATTATCGAACGAATCTTCATTTTAAACCGATAAAGTTGTTTGTAAAATTCCCATTTGATATTCACTGTGACTATTTCCCATCGAGGTCGACGGTTGTTGTGCAGATGTCAAATTGTACGTATAACTGGGGTCACGAGAGGTCATTGAACTCGCACGGGAAGTTGACTTCAAGCCTGTCTTGACAGACCCGTTTTCGTTAGTCATAATTAGGTGGTACTGGTGACTGTTTTGACTTCCTGACGGTGAAATTTGCTTGCTGCTTCCGGCTAGATCAAATCTCATATGTACTTAATTTTAATTAAAAACTCAAATATGTCTACATCAATTCTTCAGACCAAGTTGACAACCCCCCCCCCCCCCCCCGCGCACACACACACACACACACACACTCACGCACGCACGCACGCACACTCTCACACACATACACAGAATCCGCTGAGCTGTTCAGGGGGAGGATGCTAATTTGATTTTAAGTTTGAACTTTCAGCAAATGTAGGTCTACAAATTTGATTATTCTCTTTTCAATTCGATTCCCTTATAATTCTCAAAATTTTGAAAAGGTCCTTATTTTTCAGAGAAAAAAAAACTTTTTCTTTTACTTTCGCAAAACCGTGCAAAAAATTTGAGGAGTAAAGGCATTTTTTTAAACCAAATTTGACGATGAGGGATAAAATATAACTTCAAACTGATGATATTACTTTTTAGCCGCTGCTGTATTTTACAGCATTTTACGTGTGAATTGGCTGTCACTGCCATCAAAACCTGGTTGCAAAAGCAGAATTTTTGCTTTTTTCAAGTAGCTGTATCACATCAAGATTTTTTTTCACCTTTCTGACTGTTGTTGCTGTTGGCGTTGAAAAGTGGGCTCATAGTGGCAATGTCATTCGGCTGTTTGTACTCGGGCGCGTCCGAGAGCCCTCTGAGTATCTTCTCGGTTTCGATTTCGTCCGTCGGCTCTGGCTTTATCTCTGGCCTGAATAAGAAATTCAACGTCAACAATCTAACAAACTTAAAAACTAATATTCAGCTGAGCTCAGAGCCAGGTATACTTGAGCACCAAATGAATTATGACTTGTCTTGGCAGATGGTTTTCATACACAAATTCATCATCTTTTTGAACTGAAAACACTTTCACATTCATTCGTATGCCTTAAACAGAGTAAAAGACGAACGACAATAAGTTTGGTAGAGTGAAAATATTCTTCTAATCATTCGTTAATAATTTCTTTGAAATCTAGTTGACAAATTCATTTCAGTTTTTTAATTTTTTTTGAAGAGAATTTGATCTCGCCGAAATAAGTTTCATCACGCAAAACTCAGTATCAGGAAACAAAACAAACTGCGGACAACAAACATATCAAACAAAACAAAAAATTCAATCAGTTTTGAGTTTTTTGTCCACGGTTTATTTTGTTCAAAGGTTCAAAATATATTTTTGTTTTAAAGTTTATTTTGTTTTAAGTTAGTTAAAATGTAATATACTTTTATTCTGTAATCCAATTGGAAAACAGTTTGTCGAGAAAAATGAATAGGAAAACGAAAAAAAAACATCGTTTCCAATTTTTTGGCAGGAAAATTTTGAATTTCGAAGTTTTTCATTCTCAAAGTGGCACTAAAATGAAATTAGACCAAAAAGTTTTACAAATTCAAACTCATTTTTCTCGACACGGAGGAAAAGTTTCAAAAGTTTTTAAAAATCATTCGAGTCAAGACTGAAAGGGCTTTAATACGACTGATCACTCGACCCATTCCGATAATAATTTCTGGTACCTGTTTTTGCATGAAAATAAAAGAAAATGAACAAAACTAAAACACGCCCAAATACAAAATTCATCCACTTTTTTCAAATGATTTCAGTAGTCAAAAATTCTGCCTGAGCCTTCAATCAGTAAGCAGCCATTTTTAGCTTGGTGCGTTTGCTTCAGCATTTGTAGGCTCTTTACTGCTGTCTATGCAATTTCTAAAACATTTGTGTCTAGATTGTTTTCGGTTTTTGACATCCAACGGTCATTCCCGCTAATATGTTTTTGATGGAAAAGACAATTTACTGTTCTGTTGACAACAAGGAGTCAATTTGGCAGTTTTGAACGCTACTTGCATACATAAAGATATCGTCTACGGTTATTTTAGCGTATCACCTTGGTTTCTAAAACCCAGCTTAAGACATAGCAAAAATTTTGCTTTCTTAGCTTTGATCTTCGGGGAGTAAACAGCTTTTCTGACACTCATATTCTCAGTAAAACTGGGAAATGTTGGAAAGTTCAGCCCACGCCTATGTTGTGGATGAGGGTTTTTGAAAAAACTAGCTCATCTGAAGTTTGTCGGAGCGTGTGTTGTTCAGCCTCGTAAAAATTGATTACTGCGCAGTGGATTGTTTTGGATAGCGTGTGGAACAACGTCAATGCACTTGAATTCTGACCTGATAACTTGTCCTGATAACCCCTGATAAACTTCCCAGCTACTTTCGTTGCCTTCCATATCTTCTCTGATTTTAGGTGACTTTTGGTTTCTCTGGCTTTATCCTCAGCCACTTTCCATCTGTCAACCGATCTACATTTTAGTATTTCTCTTCCCTCTCCAGTTTTCTTATTTTTTTTTGAAATCGTTTGAGATTGTTCTTCCTGGCTGTTAATTTCATCCTTTATGTTGTAGCCTCCCTCTCGGGTTGCCTCTTCTCCCCTTCTATTATGTCTGTTAATTCTAGATGCTTGTGCGCTGTCAAAGGCGAATTTACCTAACATTTTGACCACATCTCCGTCTGTTCTGCACGTCCTTTCTCGCTAAGATGTTGGATTTTTCTGATTGGTCCCGTTGCTAAATTTGACGGGTTAAATTTAACGGCAATAGGAACCCATTCTGTTTTGATAATTCGATAGTGCCCAGTTCTTGATCAAAGATTCACTTGACTCTTCTTTTGGCTTCTCTGTCTGGTAGTTTCTCCAAGTCCGCTTTTTTGATATTTCCTTTTTCGGTTTCTGTCGTTGGTTCTGTTTCTTGTTAACTTTTTTATCCCGAACCTCCTTGTGTCGTTTGGCTTATTACAGTGCTGCTGTTGTTTCTTTGCATAACTTTTGATGCAAATGGGGGTCGCTTTGATTTCGTGTTTGACTTCGTGTTTGATTTTTGTTAGTACCGATCGAAGTTAAACTCCTTCATCGTCTTGGGACGTACTAACTATATTGAATCCCCGGACTCTCACACACGTGATGAAAATGATCGCTTTACGTTTATCAATTGGAGGCGATGTTGGGACGGTATAACGATAAATCTTGTTGTTCTTTGTCTTCCTAATCTCTTTTCGAATCGATATTTCGTCTTTGAATCTAACGCTGTTTATTCGTTTTATTTTTCGCTCTGTGAATTTTGTTTGCGTACAGGTATTGTTTTTCAGTTAAACGCATAAACTTGGAAGTCTTTGTGTTTGAATTATAAAATTCAGGAGTCTTAAAAAATCTGATATTTTTTTCATACTTTTTCACTAATTCTCCTAAACATCCTCGTCAACTAATTTTAAATGTATTTCTTGTAACTTTCTTTGTTTTCAATTAAATTTCTCTTAAATTTGAATTTGAGTGATTTGAAGCAAAATAATTGTTCGAGTGATCATTTTCGTTTGCAGTGTTCGCTTCTGTCGACCTTTTTGCTTTATTTTTTTTCTTTGTCTTTTCACATTATCGGAATTCTCCAATATTGATATGATCATTGTGACGGTATCAATTTCTCATGCTTGTTGTGAACAAATTGTCCGTTCTATTCAATGAGGGATGTTTTGGTGGATAAATGGGGGGTTTATCATTAAATATTTTTTGACCCTGTAGTGTTTTTTAAGATTGATACAATCATGACGCTCTATCCTTTACTTCTGTGTTCCAGTCATGGGCAAGATTGACTCGTGTATGGTGGTTTTAAATAATTTTTTCTATGATTCATGAAAAATGGACCTTCATTTATGATTCATTTCGCAAAACGTATCCATCACTCTTTAAGTTTATTTTTCTATGATATCGAACTAAATTTCCACTTTTGAATTGGTTAACTGCTAGGTTTTGACTTTTCCTGGTTGGTTTTTCCTGTTTTTCTGCCTTTTTAAAACGCTCTCTTACCGCTTGGATGGCACTCAAGTTTTATTTCAATAAAACTGTGTCTTTTTAGCACTGTGGAGAATATTTAGATTTTACAGCTGGAAAATTGCTAGCTGGATGTCGAGTAAACTCGCTGATATAGCGATACCCTGTTTCCATCTAATAGCAGGTTTTTTTCATTGTTACAAATGCCATTAGTGTTTCAGGGTCATCAATCAGCCTCTCATCATTTCTGCATCGATACACGATGTTCATTAGAATCCCGTTGTGAGTTTAAATGACTCCAATCGAGATGGGATAGTAACTGACGGTTGTTTTTTACCTGCAGTGTTTACTTTTCCATTATGATGTTTATCTGATTTCGGTTTTTGTAGTTTTCTTCATATCGTAGACCATTTTCAACAATAATGTAGTTGACTTTTTGGTACATAAAGTTTTTGATCGACTCTTTGGTTGTCGTACCACAGTCGTCCTCTCTATGTGTTCCTCTCTAATTTCTCTAGTTTCAAACATCTTTTTCCTCCGCTTCTGCTCCTAGCCTGCTGTCCTAGCCTGCTCTCCGTTATTTCGTTTCCAGAGTTGTTCTTCGCCACACTTTCTATGTTCAGTTTTGTGCTTTCATCTAAGTTTGAATATGTCAATAGTGCCACACGGTAATGTACGTGAGATACTATCATACCTGAACCTTTCATTTCTTTTCGGTACTGCTTCATGTTCTTTATTTACATGAAGATCATGTGACATCTGACCGTTTGTCCTCCATTTCTAGTAACATTTCGACATTTTCAAAAAAAAACGAGTAGGGAGCATGTGGTCGTACAATACTCTCAGTGGTGATTCTATTCCATCTTCATCAAATGCTTCTTAATTCGATCGGTTCATTGCAATTTCGTTAGTGTCAGGGTTTTGCCTGCCTTTCATGATCACATGCAGCGCCTGTAATATGTTGTCTGTTTGAGTGCATCCTCTCTACCATTCCCGATTGTTCTTCCACCTCAAATTATTTTCGATGCGATTTCTTCATTTTAGGATGGACACTTGCACTTCCTTCATTTTAGTCATCTTTCTCTCATGGTGATCCCCGTTTCAGCTGTATGATTGTGAAGTACTCATTTGGCCATTTGTAGGGACCTTCTCCACATTTGTGATTCAATCTTTATAGCTCACTTGCGTTCCATTGTTATTTTGACTTCTGATTCTGTGTCAATGATCCCGAGTCTGTTTGTCTGTTTAAGGTTCCTGGGTACTTCTCGCGATCGCATTCACGTTGTCCTCTGCGGTTCTTGCTGCTCGGGTTGTTTGATTTGACCTTTGATGATTCGAGACTGCGCTGCAGATTTAAACCTGATCAATCAATATGTCGAGCAAGTATCTTACTGTACCTCAACCTTTTCCAGCATTTGATTTGCCACTTGTCGGCGTTTTCTATATGTCTTTGCTTTCATCTTCTCGTAATAGTAACTACTTCCTGTTACCATGGAAAGTTCCGTTAAGTGAATTTAACTCAACTGCAAAAAGGAAGAAGACTGTTTTTAACATTCTATCTTCTCGCGACTGATCGTCGTTGCTCTTTTCATTTCTTCACTCCCTTTTAAAAGTCGAGGTCATTAATCTCGCATTTGTTAAGGCAGTGCCACAGTCGAGTATCTGATTCGTTTTTGACAGACCAGAAATAATCGATAAGCATGTGTTTATGAATAAGTTTATTCGCCCAGAGATATATTTGCTGTTTTCATAATATTATGATTATTATGATTATTACTGTGATTTTTATTACTATGATTATTATTATTATGATTATTATGATTATTATAATTATTATGATTATTATTACTATTATTATTATGATTATTATTATGATTATTATGATTATTATTATTATTATGATTACTATCATTATTATTATGATTATTTAAACTATGAAAAATTGTAGCTACTTCTTTGAAAACTGTGCAAAACTGATTGAAACTTGTGCAAAACTGACTCAGGCCTGCAGAAGAAGTAAATGAAGACGAAGAAGAGGGATCCCATGTTGCAGATGAAGGCGCCCCAGGCAGTGTAGTAAGACCAGCCGACGTGGAATGCCTCGTACGTGTCATGGGAGCGAGAGTGGAAGATACACAACGAGATCACCAGGAACACACCTGAAATAGACAGAAGAATTCGTATAACTATTTGCCCATGTGAACAATATCACCCCTAAATAGACCAAGTGAACAACTCCCCCCCCCCCCTCTCTCTCTCTCTCTCTTTAAAATTAGATGTTAAATTCAAGTAATAAGGCTTGCATGTACTATGCTCAAATCTAATTTGTCCCTTTCCTCAGGATTTTGACCCCCTGGCCACCAAAAGGGTCCCCCTCTTGTTACTTTTTTAAGACGTGGAGGAAAAGCATGCGCAGGTTTAGTTCTAATTTTGATTCAAATTCAATGAAACAGACAAGACTATTTTACCCTAATGCAGCGGGTATTTCCTTTTCAAGTACGATCATCCTTAATGAAGACTAATTGGGTCACATGTCAGCTAATAAAATTTGACCTCTTTTTGATCCTACATGAATTCTAGTTTTAATGTACGCGCTATAAAACAAACTGATTTTGCTTAAACTAATGTAATTTTTTTGTCAATTCGACTAGGTATTCCGATACCAACTGACAGTTATAAATCAACTTTTTTAATTTTACCGTCATCAAACTTTTCAACAAAAACTGTGCCATAAATATTAGCCATAGGCGGATTTGGAGCATTTTGGGAGAGCTCTGAAGGTCATTTTGTCGACAAACAAGGGCGTTTTTATAACAAAAAAGGTCGAAACAGTTATTAAAAATGAACAGCATTCATTCTGTTATTCTCGAAAAGATCCAATAACTACCCCTGCACCAAATCATATTTATTCAAAAATATATATTTTAGTGATTGGCAACGAAAAAGTGTCCAAAAAGTTGCTGCCGCGATCAGTGATTCAAAATGAATTGAGGAGAAAATTCGGCAAAACAAACATTCGGCGAAACTGGAAGTTGCTCCTATGAAGGTCGTCCTCCCTCGTTCGCCAGGGAAGAAGTTGAAGGCTGAGGTGAAGTAGGCCACGAGTGCCATTAGGCTAACTACACTTGACATCACTATGAAAGACCTGCTCGCATTCCACCATTCTAAACATGTGCATGTTCCTAATAGAGGTACCAGTTGGCCGAACGACAAGAGGGTAGAGGAGAATTTTTTCAGGTTTTGCATTTCATTTTTTAACAATCAGTCGGTTAAATATCAGTTAAATAAAAAAAACCTGGCAAACAATTCAGATACAGGTGTGTCAATTATTCCGTTTAAAATGACGATGATGAAAAAAATTATCATCATAAGAGTTTAAATCCGCCTTTGCTTCAAATCAAAAGTCAGTTTGATAATTACAATTTATTAATTTAATATCGATATATACGCAATTTATCATTGCACCAATAATCAATTGCTTTCAGGAATTTTCAAAGGAAATCAAGTTTAGTTCCCCGAAAGGTTAAGTCATGATAGCATTTAATTTACATATTTTGTCAATAGGCACCAATCGAATGACCCCTTCACATAACTGACCCTTGAAAACTGACCTACAACTGGTACAAAAAAAGAGGTTGTTAGGTTATTCTCTAAAAGTAGATTTTGTGGTCAACTTCACAATGTTCATTGCCAAAGAATTGTAGATAAACTTCTTCTGATAATATTTAAAGGGTAATTAATTAAGGAGCTAAAAGCTAAACACAGACTGCTCAGGATGATCAAAGGCTACTAATATATCTGCAATACTTTGTCCATTCACTTCAAATATTTAAACACGGATAGGCAGTTGCTGGCCTCTGACTCAAGAAAAAACTATAAAAACAAAAAATTGAAAATTAAATAATGACCCGGGTTGACCTCCATAAACCGAAAATGCTTACCTTACAATTCCATACACCGAAAATGCTTATCTTACAATTCCATACACCGAAAATGCTTATCATACATTTCCATAAATCAAAAATGCTAATCACAATGGAAAAATGCTAATCATACAATTTTCATACAATTTCAAAAATTCAATGAAAAAAGGTTCGAACTAGCTTCTGCGGATATTTGAACCAAATAAAACTGTCTAGTGATGAAAAAAAAATTATGTTTCTTCTTTTGGAAAAAATTGTTATCATAAAAATTTCATATACGGAAAGTGTATGACTAGCATTTTTCATGACAACAAAAAATTGCCCCAAAATATTTTTTTTTGCTTTTTTTTCCAACCGCAAACCGAATTTTGTACTCAAGCAAACATTTACCAAAAAAAGTTTTGCATGCAAATTTTCTCTTTTTTGGTCTGCATAACAAATAGTCCTGGATACATAAAAATTGGTTTTTTTTCCGTTTCTCTGGATAAGCTTTTTCAAACAGCCTAAAAACTCCTATTTCTTTTATATGGCATGTTTGTATATGCCTTGATTAATGTCTGATTACTTGAAAATTCTAATTTTGAAAAAAATCGTCTTTGAAAAATTTTGCCAAAGTTTAAAAGATTATTATTTTCAGTATATGATTTGTGAAGAGAACTCTTACACAATTCAGGTCGTTTCCAAGCATTTTAAATGCCACACGACCAACCCTTTGGTGACTCTAGTTTTGAGTAAACCATGGTTTTAGTCACTTGTGTTTGGTAGCGAACACATCCCAAAAAATTTGAGAAATAAAATTTTTAAGAAATCAACTTTTTGGTTTATGATAAAATGCTTGTCCTACAACTTCCATATATGAAAAAAAGCTTATCTTAGGCTTTTCTTAAAAATTTCTATATCTATGGAATTGTACAAAATTGTATGATAAGCATTTTTTTATTCATGAAAATTGTATGATAGGCATTCTTGGTCAACCCGGTAATTTATTATTCAGTTTTCTTGAAAAAACTTCTTGATAATTTTGTCCAAGAAAAAGCATTGGTTTAAGCAGAAAAAAAATAAAATAAATAAACTTGCCAACGCATTATCAAACCAAAAATGCGCAAAAAATATAACCCAGGCGAATATTTTTGTCTGTTAATTTAAGTTTGCATGACTTTTATAACTGTTACCCGGGTTGAGCTCATATTGAAAATTAACAATAGAAAAGTATAAAAAAACAACTGTCGCCATCGATGAATTTTCGATGTTCAATGCCTCATTACCAAGTTTTATCGATAGATTATCATTAATTTGGGTAACTGTCAGCGATGCCGATTTAAGATTTTCTACAGAATCATTACTGAAATAGCACTGAAGTATCGCAAGTTTAGCTAACCAAAAAAAAATTTCTGAATTATACATGAATCAGCGCTGGAAAATAGCGATCACTGAGATACTACAGAAACAGCGATAATTAATTAATAGATTTTAAAAATGTAAAATTATAAATTTGAACTAAATTTGTTGGAGGTTAACCTTTATTCAAACTTAGTCTGAAACCCTATGTATCCGACACTGAGAGTTCTTTTGATTTTTCTGTAATCGAAATCACGACTAATAATACTTTAAGAAGAGACCACACTTGAAACCCCTGCGAAATTTCTTTGAGGTTGTAAAAAGTGCGAAGAAAAAACAGCACACCCTTGTTCCTATATCCTTCCCTCCATTTGATGAATGGGGGTGGTCAGACAACAACAATGACCCCTCCCCGACCAAAGCTAATCATCTACTTCGTGATGTAACGAGTGATTTTACAAGGTTGAAATAGAAGGCCTAATTTGTTCGTCTTGACCTAATTAGTCCGCTTGCCACTTTTTATAACAGACAATGTGAACAAAACTTTTACTTGTAAATGTTTGCAGGTGGGGGAAAAGAAGAAAAAGTGCACCAAATATGGATTTTCGTGACTATCCGCATTGACAAACATGAGAATGAAATCGATTTGAATCGATTTTTATACAGATAAAATACTGCATATGAATGGATTTACCGTAACCCAAAGATACCTAATTCGATATAAAATAGACTTACAGGGGTTTTCACGGCAGAGAAATTACCAATCACAGAACCAATTGAAACGGAATTTTCAAGCTAAATATTCGGATCTGACTAAATCAGTTTCAAATTGATTCAAATTGATTTTTTTTTTCATGTCTCTGCTACACTATCTGTAAAATACGATTGCAGTTCATTTCTTGTCAGTGCGTGTAGCAATCTTTCATAAGCATCAAATATGGAATTATATGACTAGAACTTCTGTTTAATGGAGGTTTACCCAAGATTCGTGAGGGAGAAAAGCTACTGAAGTTTTATGGTCCATTAACAAAATTTACATTGAGGATTGAACTTTTCTGAAAAGTAAGGGTTAAAATTTCTGGCTCTACTCACCAGGGAATCCAGTGATGTATTCGCAAGGCACCGGCGGAATGGAGGGGGAAGTCGTGGATGTACAGAACACCCACAGTCCATAATTGTCCCCCTTGAGGACTGAAGTGTTCGATAACCTGGGCCAGTGATGTCCATTTTAGTAAAAAGAAATAAAAAATTATGATTTTCTACCAAATAAATAAGAAAAATTTGATTTTGACTTAAATATTGCGGTTCAAATTTAATTTGTCCACGAAAAGCTTTTGTTTATTTTTTTGCTTCTAAACTAAAGTTTAGCAAATATATTGAAATACGGCTTATAAACTTTTCTTTACATGTTTTTTATTAGAATAACATAAATTAATTTTTTTTGTTTTTTTTTGTAATTTTTTTTCAAATGGACTTCACTGACTTGGGGTTCCTCAGTAGCCAGTAGGTCGTGAAGGCCGAGAGGGCTATTAGCGCCAACGATGCAACCTGCAGTAAAAGATTCGTGTGAAAAACGACGTCCGAAACGTGACAACATTTCGGCAACTTTGGCTTCTTGATAAATTTAGTAGTCATTTTGGTCAATTTATTGTAATAAATCTATAATATAAGTCGCTGTGAAATAATGTTTGTTCAGGTGGCTGAAATTAAAACAAAAAGCATCTATTAAAATCAGGAAGAAATTTAACTATGGCATAGCTCAGTTTGGAACGAAATTTTCAGAAAATGAGCGGTTTTGTGGTATTGACGCAAATTATTTCAAATGCCAATAAATACTTTGTAAAATGTCACTTTTCAACAATGAATTGCTTTCTGTTTGCAATGGCGCAAATTGGGGGAAAAGTGACGTTGGAGAAAATAATTATAATTTATTCGTGCCTGCTACCGGGCAACCCGATGAAAATGTAGGGCAAGATAGCCACGTCCAGATGGGTCTTTTTTAGTTGACAGTATAGCCCAGAGAGCAAATTTGTTACCCGCTGGCCAGTGGTGCAAACAAACAACAAAAAACAAACAAACAAATGACCCGCTTTGCAAGAATCGCATGTGATAGATATAAAGCGAAAATGAGAAATAATTCGACAGATATCCAGCGAATTTGTTATCTGGCATGGCTTGGACAAATTATCTGGCGAAATTTCAAAGGAACTTGAGGTCGTAAAAAAGACGATTACCTGTAGTGATTATTTGGCCCAACACCAGGTATACTGTAATAAGCCGCGCAATAGTTTTCAAAAGAGCCGTAAAATCTAGTTCAGCCCGACAGAAAATCTAATTCAGAGCAAACTCAGAAAATTTAATGGGCTCTTTGCTACACCTTGGTTCAAATGGCAAAATCAATTATATTTTCAGGAATCGCTAATAGACTTTTTCCTAGAACTGAGCTGCCAGCACAGATTTGAATGATTAAGTTCTCTATTGTTGACTAGTCGTATAAATCCTTTTCCTTTAACTCTGAGATTTTTGAAATCAGAACTGTCATGAAAATCAAACCATCAATAACAAGCTCAGAAATTGACTGCAACACTTCTATCTAACTTAGCTCAGGGGCGCAATTAAAGGGGGGGGGGTGCGACCCAAAGAATCCCCCCTTATTATTATTTTGAGATATTCATTTTTGGCTAATTGACCCTAACATTTTTCTAAAGGAGCTTTTGGCGCCAATTTATACTAATTTTGAGGGAATAGCGTGCGCCGTAAAAACGTGATTTTTTGGTCGACATTTCTAAGAAAAAACCTCAAAATGCCTTTTTTCCGTCACAGAATTTTTTGTCAAACTGGCGTCTTTGTATTGATTTGGCAGATCTCAGAAAATCAACTTGGTCGACCCAAAAAAAAGTCGAATTTTTTCGAATTTTTTTTTTAATTCCGCTCCCCTAGTTCCGCCCCTGATTTAGCTGGTAAATGAACTTTTATGAAAAATTCCTCAGTTAACCTATAAAAAACAATTTCCGAAGAGGTCTTCAAAACATCATTGTTGAAACTGATCATTCAATAAATAAAAATTAGTCCAATTCTCGTTGTGACGGCTGTCTAGCTTCTTGTTATTGGACTATTCGCTAGTCTGTGTTGAATAATATATTTATGTGAAGTGAATAGTTAAACTTAGATGATCAAGGTCGGGACAGATCTCCCGAAATTGATAATGTGTAAAAGTCGATTTCTGTCACTCTCTCACGATTGTTGAAAGATTGCAGTTATCAACATCTTGAATTTACGTAGCCATTCCAAAATCAATTGAACTCAACTTTCTTATTTTAATTTTAGTTTAATTAATAATTTTGTAGCAGGTCCCGGGTTGACCTCCATGCACAAAAAAAACTCATCATACAATTCCAAACAACAAATGTGTGGAAAAACGCTTGTCATACAATTTTCATAGAATTTCTGAAAATGGTTGAAAAAAGACATAAACTAATTTCTGCGGCTGTTTGATTCTATAAAACAATCTGCGAATAAAAAAACCAGGTTTTTAATTTTGAAAAAATGCTTATCACACAATTCCCATATATAGAAATTTTATGACAAGCATTTTTTTGTTAGCGACACAAAAATTTTTTGTAAATTTGAAATTGCCCCAAAAAAATTTTTGTTAATTTTTCAACCGCAAATCGAACTTTCTACGCAAACAAACATAATCCAAGAAAAAATTTTGCATGCAATAATTGATTTGTTGCATAACGTAGTCCTGGATACACAAAGGTTGGATCTTTTCCGTTTGGCTATATAACTTTTTTCAAAAACGCTGAAAACTCCTACTTTTTTGTATGGCATGTTTATGTATGCCTTAATCAAGGTATGGTATATTAAAAACTCAAATATTAAAATGATCATCGTTGAAAAGTGTTGCCAAAAATCAAAAATTTCGTTATATCATTTGTGCAAGACAGCTCTAAGACAATTCAGGTCGTTTTTTATTCATTGCAAATGCAAAACCTTCCAACCTTTGGTGCTTCGAGTAAACCAAGATTTTTTCACTTGTGTTCAGTTACAAGCGCAACCCAAAATCTTTCAGAAATTAAATTTAGAAACGAAAAACCAAATTTTTGGATTATGGAAAAACACCTATTGTACATTTTTCATGTGTGGAAAAAAGCTTATCATAGAGATTTCATAAAATTTTCGGTACGTATGGAATTGTATTAAATTGTATGGCAAGAAGTTTCCCATGTATGGAAATTTGTATGATAAGAAGTTTGGTGAACCCGGGTAACTATGTCACACTCGTGTCCAAAAATACTTGAATAAATGGCCTGAATAAACGGTCTTGAGGTTCGCTAAACAAAAAAGAGCTTCGCTAAACGAAATAAACAGTCTGGAATGTGGGGAGATAATACAAATGGACGACTCTTCTCGATGGGCCTATTAAGGCCTACTGATAGCTCCTCTGCGATTCGCAGGAATCACATGAAAAAAAAGGTATTTACAGTTTTTTCTGGATAGATAACATTTGTACAATTCAAAAAGCTTGCCACTATCTGTTTTTTGTGTCGAATCGAAAGGGCAAAAAAAACTATTTACAATTAAACCGATTAGCATGCGCAATTCGATAATTTCCTTTTTCATTATTTCAAAGCCACATTTGATTTTAAACGCGTACTTTGTTTTAAAGGCTGCATTGTCAAGCGAACAGTCCTAGTGCAAAAGTTTGATCCATCGACATGAAAAAAGATTTAATTGAAACAAGACTACTCGTATCAGGGCGAAGCCCTGAATGTTCCGACTGCCTATTAAGGTTTATGGAGCAGTAATAGCATTAAAAAATTAAAACTAGTAAAACAAAATGAATTTTTTTTTTCTAAAATTTGAAATTTTTTATCAAAATCATCCACCCACAAGCCATTTAAAGTACAAAAGGATAGATTTCGCTATTTGTAACAAATCAATTATGGCAAATAAGCTTCGTTAAACCAATTTGGAACGATATCTAAGACGGATTAACTCTCCGCTTACACGTTAATAGCGCGAAAACATCGCAAGCTAATTGTACCAAATTGGCCAAAATGGCAATCTTTAAACCCCAATAACTTGACGAAAAATCATCACAGGTGAAGTATCTTTTTCAAATTTGAGCTCAGGACAACAATACCTTTCGAATGATATAAAAAAAATCCGTCAAAAATGGCTAGTTAAAAAGTCGAAATTTGTCTGAAGAAAAAAAAACCCACCCCGAGCACAAATATTCCGTTACTTTCGTATCGAAAGTCGGAACAATTATAAGTTATGTAAACTTCTTATGCGGCGGTCACTGTTTGTTGCGAGTCATTACAAGCTCGATCTGCGGCAGGGTACTATTTACGCAGAGTTCGGCTCAAACACAGACGTGTTGGATAAACGAAGTTTTTGCTTCTTCGTTTTGTAGGTGGTTGCTCGTCAGTTTTTATATGCCGAATAAGCTGCGCATGCTAACCGGTACAAACGCTAAGAAGCAGCCAGGTCCCCAGAAAAAAACGTTCAACGCATCAAACAAAACTGTTGTATTCAAAAAACTCCTTGGCGATGCATTTTGTGACTAGTTTCAATTTTCTTGCAATTTTTGTGCTGATACAACTAACAAGCATTTTAAGCTCCAATAGGTATAACTGGTTTAGTAGGAATAAAAATTAGACGGTTTAAGCGCAAGAAATAACAGCCCTCAAGTAGGCATTTTCGGAGGAAGAAGCTGGTTTTAACTATATTTGGATAAATTATATTCGAAAGCGCAAGAACAACTAAGCAGCACTCAAGTAGTTCGTCTCAAGCCGTTGACACGAAAAAAAAACACTCTAATTGGAATAATCAATATTTTATTGATAAAACAACTTGACTAAATAATTGAAATCTGAATTATCGGTTTTCATTATTTCAGCGACACGGTATTTTTTCGGCGCAGTACAATCTTTATTTTTCAGAATTATGACGCCGAGCTCGGTTGATTAGAGAGAAATCTAGATTAAATTAATAGTCTGTGGAGTTCTGCTGCAAATTCTTACATGTAATTAAATTTAAAAATTGAACCATGGACCTGAGAAAAAATGTCTGAGGAATTGAAGTTAATTTCTGTGCTCTGTTGAAGCCAAAATTGGGGCCTAATCAACTGTTAGAAAACGCTCTTTGTCTTTTCTTAATGAACACTAGAGGAAAAAAGAAGAGAAAAGAAAAAACAAAGAGGAGCAAAAAGCTTTTCAATGCAATGCAAACATATAATTTTCGAAAAAATTTTTGCGATTGCATTATGATTGTTTTGAAAAAAAATTTGTGAGAATGAATAACAAGTGCTTCATATGTGTTGAAACTAGAATTTTAAAAACAACACAAATGTCAATCTGTTTACCCAGAAAACAGGTGCGCATCTATGATTTTCTCGACTGGGGGTGGATTTTCAAAAAATTTTCTAACATTTTGTCCATCTTTTTTTAAGTCGACCAAGTTGATTTTCCTAGCACACTCAGAAAACTGTAAAAACCCTAGTTTGACAAAAAAAAGTTTGCGTCTGAGGCAAACGTTTG